AGTTTGGGACAGGACCTGGTTGGAATGTGGAGGCCATGTGGACATGACTGGGAAAGCTCTCGTCTCCACCTGACCCTCTCTTCTCACCTCTTTTTCTCTTTTGAACCCCACCTTCCACTACCCGTGTAGCTTATCAGGCCATTCTCTTATGCTTTTCTGCATTGGAGTTGGCCAATAATAAACTGCAACCTCAGAAATTGTGTATTACAGCAAAAATTTTCTTTCTCTAAAGTGTTGGCCTTAAATATTTGGAAGAGGAACAGTGACTAATGCCATCTCTCATGTTCATGAGCTTACAGAATTGATACCATTTTCATGATTTTGTTATGAAAGAGATCTGTATATTCAGTGAATTCCAATGATGATATTAAATACAGTTCTTTGAAAGATGAGAAAACCAATCCTACAATTCATCAGCAAAAGACACACATGCACACACACACCCAGATGCAAGCCTAAGCAAAACAATCATCAGAAAGTTGAGGAAAGCTAAAAATCAGTGCAATATTAAATATCCTTGTATTAAAATGAAAGTACAAATACTGACAGAATATTGCCATAAACAGAGACAGAAGCAATAGACTGGAGGACACTGAAAGAAAATTACATACTAACAGCTATCATTTTCCTGAAAAGAAGACAAGCATATGTATTGAATAAAAACTAGTGTGATAAATATTTTCAGAAAACTGGACCTTCATAAATAGATAATTAGAAGTGGATTCCAAACTTTCACAATGTAAAAAATGTCCACTGAAAGTATATCAAATACCCAAGTATATTGCCACATTTATTTGAACAAGAAGATAGGAGAAGGAATTGGTTTACTCTGCAAGCAAATGTAAAAGTTTCCTGAAAAGGACTCCATTAGAAAATAAACAGGATAAATAATCAACAAATGGGGTAATATCAAACAAAAAGCTATTGCACTGCAATAAAAACAATGCCAAATGAAGACATGAACTATACAACAGAAAAAACTCTTTGAGAACAATCCTTAGTACAGAGCAGTACAATCATATATCTATATACATATGAATACATAAGCAAAATTAAAATAAAATACATATGCATCAATAGAAAAGAAAATGATGTACATAGTCATTTCTCCAAAGAAGAAATGAAAAGAGAAGAAATTAAGTGAAAATAATTTCCACATCATTACTTATCTTTGAATTACAAATCTAAACTCCCTTGAGATTTCATCTCACCAATGAGAATGAGGATCATATAAAAGCAATAATAAATTCTCTTGAGTATTTGAAGTAAAACTAGATATAAATTTCTCTTGTAAATGATTAAAGTCATTATTAAAATCACTGTGAAGATTCCTGAAAAGACTAAATTATGACCTACCATTTTATCCTACTTCTTAAAAAGTTGATACATTTCCTAAAGAATTCCTAAAGTATTCCTACTCTTTAAATATCTTTATTCCAGAAAAATACATATCTTCCTAGCTATGAAAACTTCTTAGGTGCACAAAGGAAAATGGAGGAAGGCAGGGAATGTGTATTTATGCATAATGAAGTATTTGTTCGACACACAAACTAAACAAAACCAAATATGCTATGATTAAACCTGAGATCATGTTGCATAAAATGAGTCAGATTAGTAAGGTAAAATACCATGTTTTGTCTCATAAACAGAATGTGGAAGAAAATCTGAGATCGGATTGGCATGTTAGTAAAGGGAAAATCATTAGAGAAGTAGAGGATGAGAGGAAGGAGAGAGGAAAAGGCAAATATCTAAGGGGAAAGAGAAAAGAATCAAAGTATGTTGTGTGCATGTGCAGGTTTTATAAAATGAAATGTATTAGTCCCTCAAATTACCATACAACTAACAGAAAACACCAAAGATTGTCACTCAAATTGAGTAAAAATGGCAAGTGTCAAATTACATGTTGTAGGTATTTGTCAAATTATAGATTGCAGGTATTTGTCCAATTATAGGTTGTGGACATTTGATATTGTAGAATTTGGTAAAAATTCATCACACAAATTAAAATGGAAACAAAACTCTGTGCTGGTACACAGAGAAAATCTTTAGTGAGTCCTATGAAGAAAACAGATATAAACAAAATTAATTTCAATGAGTACATATTGTTGTCTCCCAAATCTGAAACAATGATAAGAAAACACATGACTTGTGATGTTCCACTAAATTAAATGATAACACTTGTGACGTTTTCCACAGGGTCCTCGGCTACATTTTAGGAAACATCATTCCCTTCACCAAAGCCACATCTCACACATGCCCTGGCCAGGCTCCCATCTGTATTGAAGCACGAGTCTGTGGTTCTCACCTGGACTGCAAATTTGGGCAAAACTTTCTCATCCTATCACCCATGGCAATGGAGATGCCATGAAAGGGATTTGGGAGAATATTGGAGAAGAGGAGGATGAGGGGAAGGAGAGAGGAGATGTTAAGGAGGAAATGAGGGGCATGAGAAGGACCAATGCGTGATATATGCATTTACAAATTGGGTTAAATGAAACATTACTTTCTGTATGAGTAATACAAATCAATTAGAAAGAAACAAGTGATAACAAAGACTGTCACTTAAACCGCGTACATATGTTAACAGAGGTCCAATGAGAAGTTGTACAAATATAGAGCATGGGATATTATAGAAGTTTGTAAAGATTAAATTATGGAAAATTAAAATGGTGACAAGATCCTGTTCAGTTATAGAGAGAAAAATCTTTAATGGAATCTCTGAGGACAATAGCCCCTATATGAAATGGTAACTCCAGTGTATACATAAATCTTCTATCCAACTGCAGCAAAAGCAAAGATAAATACACATGCTGGAGATGGTCATGTAAAAGAAATACTGAGGAAACTTGCAAAAATCGCCCATGTCCTCTCCCATATTGTACACAGCATCACTCACTTTAAAAGCCTTCACTTTGCATACTGACCACGCTCCCATGTGTACTGAAGCACCACTCAGTGGTCCCTACCTGGACTCTGAAGTTGAGGAATAGCTCTTCCTTCCACCCTCCACAGCATTTCTTTGTCCACTGAAAGAAAATTTAGATCTGATTCACAGAGCTGGTATCCTGTTCAGGGAAAAGTAAGCAAGCACGTTTTTATTTTTGTGGCAACAAAAATATTTTGATCAAGTACAAGGGATGCAATCGAGAAGAAGTAAGGAACTAGAGGTTAGACCTAGGAAATATGTTCAGAAAACATCACTGAGTGAATTTGTGAATATTAAATGGAAATCTAGAATGTGTACCAAAAAAGGATTCTCTGTCAGGATTCTTATATTCATTCCCGTTTTTAAATAAAATGCAGAATTATCAATATTTCAAAAATAATAAAATACATACGTCCATGATAAAAATGAATACTATTTAAATAGAATCTGACACAAACATTTCAAGAATACTCACATTACATTTATTTTCATGTCTGGGTCAAAACTCAACATGCTGAGTTTAAAATAATACTTTTCCAATAATTTAGTGAATTTATAATTTTGAAAACATTCATTCAATACACTTTTTTGATCTGGGTTTTGCAGATTTGCTTGCAATAAAGACATGAAATATTGATCAAGTCAACATTCAAGGTTGTTAAAAACATCTTGTAAATAAATGTGATTGAAAACTTTCTTTCATGAAGGTGTAACGTTTATAAACAAATTCAGACAGAGATTGATTTGGGTATGCGTCACACATTCTAGAAAACTAATGCTAGAATAACTGCATGACTGAATATAGATAGAGACAATGGTGGACTCACCAAGGGATAAGAGATGATTAATGTTCTCTACCATCACATTTCTGTACAGCTCTCTCTGAGGTGTGTCCAGTAGGACCCATTCCTCTGGGGTGAATTTTATGGTCACATCTTCAGTGGTCAGTAAGTTCTAGAAGATCATAGACACTACACTTTAGATAGTGGAATAGCAACAAAGTTCTTTGCATGAAAACTCAGATTATAGCCCAGAGGCAGAGGAAAGCCTGGATACAGAGAGATTGAATAGTTTAGGGCAACACTATTGCTTCTCTTTACAAACACACTCTGAAATCATAAATTCATTATTATGAAGGATAATTACATTATGAGAAATTTTACATATGTGGTATTGAAAACCTTTGACATTTGTCAATAGAATGGTAGTTATAACTTTTATGAAGGTTGTTATGAAACATTCAGTTTCAAAATTTTATGTAAAAATATCTGCCCTGATCATTTTGATTAACATTCTTACATAAAGAATTGAATTATTGTTATCACTGTTTTGGTTTCCATTAGTGAGAGTGACTATGGTTGTTTCATTTTCATTCATATACCTCACATCCCTCATCTGTTTAACCAATTTTATACTGATGTGAATGTGGAACAATCCAAAGAATGATTTTCCTATCTCAAAGACATTTATTATAATTGTTGTTTGTATTATTCATAAGGAGGCCAAAGACAGTGAAAGGATTAACCACCATCCCTGATCACTGGCTGAATTGCATGACTGTCACCATCTGTGGCTGTGTTCTGTCTGTACTGGAATGGAATCAAATTTGCAGAGTGAGGCTCAGAACAAATGCCAAGCAGGACTCATCAGAAATCTTTCTGATTGGGGTATTGTCCTTTGTTCTAGATGAACTTTCCTGAGCTATGAGGATGCTCACACTTCTCTGAAAACTCCCAATATTATCCTTGAAGGTCTTCTTTATGAATGTTGTCACTATATTCACATGTTCAAGAAGCTTTAGATGAGGTACCACATGTTCAGTTCTTCAAAAAATTTCCAGAGCCTTCTATTTTCATTCTATTAATTCCCTTACTAGACTCTTGAATTAAGATTGCTACCAATTAAGTTAATAACAATATCTAATAATAACATGGATCCATCAAATATAAAAAATTCTGAATTATTGACATGAAAGTACTATGACTTTGGTGCAGAACAATAAATTATTTTAGGTTATACTTTGAAGACTTTTCCACACTGAAGTAGGTACTATTCAATTTACTTATTTATTTATTAATAATCAACAGGTTTTATTTTCCTAGAACTGAATTTGTCTATAGTTCTCAGAGCTAAAGTTCCAAAGCTACAGTCAGCAATTTTTCATCAGAGCCCAAGGGAGAGGGTCAGGGATAACAGACAGAAGACAGAGCGGCAGGAAACCACTACGAAGAGGCTGGGAGTGGGTACTCACTCTGTTCTCTCAGTGAGTTTACAAACCAGATCTGGTGAAAATACCAACGGACCAGGTAAGGGTATGTGGGTAGGAAATGACTCCAGAAGGAACACCAAAGCCCCAGCTACAAAGAGTCATCCAGCCCCACACAGAAGGGGAGCCTCCCAGTGCACCTCAGAAATGGGGGCAGCACGGGGAAGGAAGGAGCAGGACAGGGAGCACACAAAGGGTTAGGGGGCCTTCAAATTTTTTTTGTAGTTTTCTTTTATTAAAAACATTTCCTAAAAAATTTGTCTCTTCCTTTACGTCTGGGTGGTGTATGTAACTGTAGGCTGGCCTTGAGTACTGTGGGAAAGGGGACAGGGCAGCTGGGAGTTTCCCCAGGGCACCCCATCTCCGGCCCCAGCGCTCTAAAGGAGGCAGACGCTGGACACTCCTACCCACACGGGGGAAGCCGACCCTTCAGATCTCAGGAAGCCCCAAAATCTTTTGATGATAACCAAACCCCCAGAACCCTCGGATCATCAGGGGAAGACTGGGTGAGGTCAATCTCGGAGGACTTACGGGACGGAGCCCCTCCCCCCCAGGCTGTCCCACTTTCCCTGAATCTCGGCAGCTGGGCAAGACGTGTGGGACTGGGGACAGAAGCGCAGGACGCTGCCCTCTGGCCCCCAACACCCCCAGCCCGAAGCCCACCCTGCTGTTTATGCTCCACCCCTTCCACGCCTACCCAAAGCCACCAGAATGTCTATGGGAGAGGAGGAGGGGGTCAGGCGGAACAGGAGCCCTGGGAAACAGCTTCAAGCAGCATGGAGCACAACAGCCTCGTGTCCCCCAGGGAGCTGAAGACACAGCAGACTGGGGTCCTCTCGGACCCGGAGGTGAGGGCCAGATCAAGCTCCAGGGGCCGGGCTCACAGTGGGGAACAAGCGGAGGGGGAGAGCCGGTGGGGTGGGACGGGAGAGGGTTCCCAGTTTGAGGCCGTGGCCAGTTTCCCCAGCAGGACCCAGACAGCAGCAGGAGCGGGGCAGAGCTCCTCTTGAAACACTGGTGGCTACAGGCTCTCATGATCTCGGACGCCCAGGGCCTCAGCATCCTTCTCTGCCGCCTCCCTCCTCCTCGTCCTTGGGAGGAAGGCCTCGGCCAGAGGTGGGCTCCGAGGGGGCGCTGTTCTTCTCCCGCTCTGTGGAGACGGGCCTCTCACCCTCCAGGGTGGCTGCCTCCCTCTCCTCTCCTTGCGGGTCTTCTGCCTCCTCGGGACGTTTAGGGGAAGCCTCCAGCAGGTCGCCTGCTCTCCTCTTCAGGGACCCCTTCTCGTTCTTCTCCTTGGCCGGCTCATGGATGACCAGCTTCCCCTCCTCAGCGCTGCTACCCTCTGCCTTCCCCTTCTTGTCAGGGTCACCCTCTGTGGCTTCGGGCTCTGGCTCTGGCTCTTCCAAGCAGCTCTTTTTCTGGGAGGGCTGGTAGCCAGAGGCGTTGACAGTGGGGTTGTTCTGGATCTCCCTCAGCCCCTCGCTGAACCCTTTCCGCTTGTTAGGCTTGCCAAACTTCTCCTTGGACTCCTCGTAAGGGAAGAGGTGTTTGGGGCCCAGGAATGCCGTCTCGTGGGTCCCAAAGAAAAAGACTCGGTACTTGTTGGCTGTGGATTTCACGGTAGCCTCGGGCATCTCATCAATCCGGGCCGGCCAGTGCCGGTAGCCCTTCATCTTGGCGAACACCAGGTCCCCACATTTGTACTCCTTCTGCCAGTTGGATCGAGACATGGCCAGGCTCCGGGCTCCCCGGGCTCCGCGCCAGGCCGGGAAGCGTGAGCCCAAGTTTGCGCGCGCTGTGGTAGCGGTGGCGGCGCTGCTCCGCTCCGGCCCGCGCTTGGCCCGGGCCTCGATGGGGACCCCCGGCCCGAGCTCTCCACCTGCGCGCCTCTCGGACGGGGTGGGCACGAGTCCGACGACGCGACGCTGGGCACAGCGGTGCGCACTCCTGCAGTTGTTTGTGTTTTGAAATTCAATTGCTCCCTCCTCCGCGCGAGGCCTCTTCCTCCTATTCAATTTATTAAGCGTAAAATTACTTAAGGGATTGGCAATTTATTCAATTTATTAAGTGTGAAATTACTTAAATGATTGGCAATTGCTATTCTTCCTAAACATCTTTCATTATTCTTCCAGAGCTTACAGACTTGATATCAAAATGTTTGCCTCCCTGTTGATTGAATTCACCTGGTGAAATATTTAACTCCCTCACTGCCATGGGCTGCAGTGCTCTACATCTCACAGACAGCTATGCCCTGCATCCAGCACAATTCTAACAGCACTAGAGTTAGCAGCACAGGCAAGGAGGTCAGTGTTTCTATAAAAAGAACAAGGAACTCAATGAGGGAGAAAATATCTTACCTTTCTTCTGTAAGTACAAAGCCATAGTGTAGATTCACATACACAAAGATACTGAAACCCATAGGCAAATATGTTCATATTATAGCATTGTATGCATATTATATAGTAAATAAGACACTATAAGTTTACAACCATTAAAATTACCTCAGTGGGAAGAAAATCGTGCCTGAAATATAGATGCCTTAATCCCACCTACTTGGACTTAGGACTTACTATCTGCTCTCAATGAGCTTGCAGTACCAGTAGAAAAACACATTCTTACTCACCTGCTCATTCAATGCCATTCACAGAGTTGTCAGATGCCTTCCAGTACAGATTATGATACAGGCTAAAAACTAAGCATTGAATCTGTGGATAGAGATAAAAGTTATTAAGACAGCAGTCTGTGCTGAGGATTTAAACTCTTCTGTTAGGAAGTCACAGATATTCATGGAAATGTGAGGCTACTGCCAAGCAGCAGAAAATGCAGTGCACTTGGACAAAAGAACATGGGTCTCAACTTTTCTGAAGTAAAATTTGAGTGTGTAGTTCTGGTTAAAAAATAAGGTACAAATGCAGTCATCTCATAGGAACATGAAAAGCATTGGGTCTATTGTTCATTAGCCTATTCAGCCTTTTACTTTAAATGTAAGGAATTCCTTCCCTCATTGCAAAGCAGAGATAGCTATGAGCCATCCCCATGTGGGACTTAGTTTCCATCTTTAGATAAATATGGTAGAATTTTTCAAACTACACTAGATTTGCATCATTTGGTAGCAATGATCCTCCGACCTCCACCATATTTCCCAGATGTCTCTCTGCATTCTCAGCCATGAAGTTGAACCTTTCTCTCCAGGAATGGATGCCAATCTTGGTAAGATGTTGTATAAAAGGGAGGAATTGACACAGACACTCATTCACCTGGGGGCTCATTCACTGACACCCAACCTACATAGGTGACCCTTAAAATCTTCTGCTTCAGAAAGTAACAGAACTACACATTTTTCAGTCTGCTGGCACTTACTCCCACAATTACTTAAGACAATACTGCTCAGAAGTAGTGCACATGTAAATTATGAGGATCATCCCTAAAACTCCTGGCTCAATGGGACATTTCATTTAAGGTTTCGCTGTAGCCCATGCAGTTCAGTTTTGTGTTACTCATCACTTCCATAACATACCTACCTTGCATTTATATGCAGACCTTTGCTTGTATGAGAGAAAGACTTTAGGAATTGTAATGTCTCTCCAAAACCCTCAATAATAAGTGTACTGGCAACTGTATTTCATTTATAAATAATATTTGTTGTGAATAAAAGTATAATCAATTGACTTGTTTATATGGGTATTTGAATAAAATAAGACATTATAATATATGAAACTGTGTTTCCAAATATACAGACATA